ATGCATTTACATTCCTGCATTCATCAACGCAAGCAACACAATGTAGAGCTAATTTACACAACATCACCTTGCAAATTCATGCTTGGCTTTGCACAACACACCTGCTGGGTGTGTACACACTACAAAGGTGTTTAGATTCCACCCATAGACAATGCTGGTAGGGAACACACTACAGAGGTGTGTACATGTTCGTGGTGTGTTTATAAGGTTAGTAAATCAACCCCTTTGCCTCTGTGAGAAGCTTCCTGTAATGAAGATGACTGGGCTCTGCCCCTCCTGTCATTTTCTGCAGGCAGCCTGAAGTGGGTGGGGCTTGCTGGAGTAAGAGTAATAGCCGCCATTAATAGTCTAGCAAAACAGTTTAAATTACATAGTATTTGAGGTTGAATAAAGACATAAGTCCTTCAAGTCCAACCTATTTTGTGTGTGTGTGTGTGTGTGTAGGTCCCTGTGTCATCTCATTCTTAAGAGTACCTGTACCCCTGTACATTATGGTCACTCCCCTGTACATTATGGTCCAAATGCTTCTTGAATGTTTCCACACTCTTTGCTGAAATCACTGCCTGTGGCAGAGAGTTCCAAACCCTAACTCTTCTAACTAAGAACCCCTTTTTACACATTGAAATGGTGACAAAATATGGTCCCCCAAATTGTCCATAGATGGCACTTTAAAAACTTGTACAGATCACCAGTTTAGAGATATCCATGAATAATGGCCATAGAATTATTGCTCTCACTTGGGCGCACATGGAGATGCCTAACAGGTGTAGCACAATTGTCGTTTTCGTAATTATTTTTACATTTATTTTATTTGATCTTATTTTTTATTTTTACTTTATTGCTATCACATAAGGGGGCTTACAAGCCCCCTATGTGATAGCACATAGGAGGTGACAGGTACTCTTTAAGGTGACACTAGGGATCTAAAACACCCCTAGTGTCACCTTTTCACTCAAAATAAGCTATTGAAGTGCAGATTGTCCTCCAATAGCTTATTGCCCGGCTTCTGAGTCCGAGCAATGACAGTTAAGGGGCCGGAAGTGATGCAATCAGCGTTGCTTCTGGTTCCTTAGAGCAGGGAGGAGATCAGCAAATGGAAGTACGCCGGACTCCTCCCTGGCTTTCCGCCGACTCCCGACATGCCAGTCACGAGCCCGCAGGAGGGGCAGTGGAGCCGGGAAGCAAGGCGGATGGGGCGGGGGGGCCTTAGAAGTGATCTGGTGGCAGCTCAGGCACCAGAATTGCCTCTACTATAAAGCCAACAGTTGGCTTTACAAATGTAAACAGAGTTCCGCCAGTAGACTGTATAAAGGAGCCTGCTGCCAGCAATGTATGCAATACATCCATGGAAGCGAAAGGGTTAAAACAATGTTTTAGATTTGTTAAGCTTAAAGAAATTAAAGAATTTGTGCCTCTGAGGAAAGCTACCATATTCTAAACTCTGCTCAATGCCTGTCTGGTATGGCAGCGAGTGTTGCAGACATTTCTTATAGGTTAGAATTGCTCTCACAGATGCTTATGAACCGGGAAGACTTTCCTCTTTTTCATCTGTAACCCCTTGTACATCAGATCATGCCTGGATAATTCCACTTTATCTTCCTGTATATCCAAGGTCTCGTAGATACCTTTCAGCAGATCTTCCACATCTTCCAGCGAGAGTTTAAATCTGGAAGAAGCAACCTCCTCTTGAAAATCCCCAGAAGAATCGTTAGTGGAATGCTCAGAATCCGATCTGTCTCCCCTTGCTGTAGGATTACTGCACTCTGCCCCCTCCTCCACTATAATGGCCTTGGCTGGAGCATTATGCAGTATGGTGGTCTCTGATGATTTCATATCCTCAATAAGGGATCTAAATGAATGAAAGGTTGTGGCTAATTCCTGCTTTACTGAGTCCAGAAGGCCCTTGCAAGCATTAACAGACTCCTTTTTCAAAAGGCTGTCTAAACAGGACTGACATAAGTGCTTATCCCAGGAAATGCTGAGTTTTGCTCCACAGACCGCACACTTTTTCTTAGGTGTACTCCTCGCCTGGACAGGAGGCTTCACCTACAAGACACAAGGACAGTACCCATAGGCATCACAGAGACCACCCCATTGTCACAACAAAGCAACCCACTAACCTCAGTGACAGCCAGAAATAGGAAACCTTCAGGTGCAGACAATGCCATTCATAAAAAAGTCTTGTGCCTGAGCAGGAGCGGCATGAGAAGTGGCTGCCTCCACCAGCACTTGTGACTCTCCGTCCATGATGGCGCTGCTTGTTCCGACGTTCACAGACTCTTCTGTGAAGCTGGTTGGAACAAATGCTGTCCGAGGCCCCTCCCCTTCCCCCGCGCCGAAACGAGACTTGGAGCGCAAGCCCCCGGTGCCCGGAAGTTGCATATCTCCGCCAGAAATGACGTCACTTGCCGGTCCGGTCTAGCCTGTCATGGCCGCCGAAGCCAGCACGCTAAGGGAGACACGCCACCCCCAGTCCTGGCTTTCCCCCAGCACAAAGAGGGAAGAGGAGCCATTACCACCCTTTCGCCGAGAATCCTTCAGAGCAGGTACCGGGGCCGAAGTCCACCTTTACTGTACTCCAGTACAGCCCATGAGAGCTCTAATGGCAACGCTCTCCTCCTTCTGGAGTAAGCACAATAACTGAAGAGGGATGGTATGAGGGGGTCTTTTGAATGGTTGTGGTGACGTGTTTCCTGTTTGGAGGAGGAGATACACTCTCTCATGGGCTGGATTGGAAGACAGCTGGAAATCAGCGTTGTCAGGAACAAGCCAGGAGCCAGGAAATCAGCGTTGTCAGGAACAAGCCAGGAGCAGGAGCCAGAGAAGAACATCAGCCAGGATCAGGTCATACACAGAATCAGGATACTCAGAGCAGCAGGAAAGCACTAGCAGGAAGACCACGCAAGGGCAAGGTCAGACTGGACTGAGTGGTGTATATATATACACCACTGTATGTCATCCCACTCACCATATATATATATGGTGAGTAGGATGACATCATCACTCAGAGACAGGAAACTCCCATCTGACTCACTCAGATGATGCTCTCCTATCTGACCATAAGAGGGAGCCTGGGAGTAGTGAGCAACGTTCCAGGAACACGTGAGTGAAATGGCAGCCAAGCCAGCATGCTGGAAACCCAGCGCCCGACTTTTCAAGAGGGGGTGACTGTAAGTCATTTTGGTGTCACCCCTCCAATGGTGTCACCCGGCTGCGGGCCGCACCCCCCGCACCCTCCTTGTGACGCCACTGGTCTCCCTGTCCATCTAGTTCTGAGATTTACATAGCACTATCACACAGCACAGCCTTGTCTGACAGAGTAGGAGACCTGATTTTTCTCTGTTGCAGTTCAGTAACATTTACGCCCCCCTCCCCCAGCCTGTGACTTGGAATTCAAAGCAGAAGCAGCAAGCTGATGAGGTCCTCTCTCTGTCACTCTGCTCTCTCTTTCTATCTGCATTCTCCTTGCTCTGCAGCACAACTTCTTGGCCCCTTTCCCTGCTTCTCCCTACCCCAATCTGAGCCCTGCTGTACCGGGTCTGGAAGAGGCTGACACCAAGGCAAATTCAGGATACATACATGAAAAAAAAAACATTTAAGGATGTATAAATTAATACATAGCTCCATTAATTTTTTTGTCTTTTATACTTGCCTGGAGTTTAGTTTTAACTCTGTCACATGGCTAGATGATTAATTTACTGGGTTCCGTCCCCACCAAGTACACTGTTGTTTCTGATATCTGTGTGAGTTTACTCCTCTCTCACAATATAAAATATTGGCCTTAAGCTGGCCATACACCTTAAGATTTTTCTTGTTCAGCCCTGCAAGTCTGAATCACTAGTGTCCCCCATCCGAAAGAGCGTAAATGGAGGAGTTTCCCCTTCTGGCTATCAGAATACCCAAACAGTGACTGCAGCTGTTCTGCTGGAAATTTCCCACCCCTATGTATGAGGAAAAACAGAGAAATTATCTAAAACCTTGTGCCTTACTCAACTACCCCTTCTATTGCACTCAACTCTAGTTCTAAAACGCACGCTCACACTTTTCATTGGTCCCAACCTTTATTTTTGTTTATTCACATCACTTACAAACATAGAAACTTTTCTAAACTTTGACTGGAAAAAAACAGACATTTGGTGGATAGAACTAGAAAAATTTAATAGTTTATTAAAATTCCAGGTTATTATATACAGATCACTAACAAGTAAATTACCCACTGCAGAATTACGTGTCCAAAGAAGGTACATCCTCATTACTAAAAGAGATTTTACATTTAAAATATTGTCCCATGAAAATTAATACTTCACTACTAAAAGAGATATTACATTTTAAATATTGTGCCATGGAAATTAATACTTCATGGAATTAGTGCTGGGACAATGAATTTCTCTCTCAGATAGAAAATACATCATCTTTGTACCTAAACCAAATCCTGCAGTGTGGTTTATACATGTGATGTAGATAGATGAAACATTCCATAATCCATTCTATAAAAATATTTGCATATGACATATACTATATTCACCACATTCTATATCTCACGTTTTAGCTCAAAAATATGACTCTGGAAAAGAAGCAGTGGTGGATGTAGCCTATGTGGGAGTTGTAATATAGAAAGATACCAAGATTTTCTTAATTAAGACACATTCTGTTACACCAGTTATATATTCTTGGATGTTCTTAATTATTTATATACAGATGTATTTTCAGCTGATATATATAATGATATACTTTACATTGTTTAATTAGTTTATATATACATTGTATTGGAAGCACCATAATAAATAATCAGTGCACTTCTATATATTTGTTATAATTCATTTTTTGATACCTTTTGTTTATTGTTTAACGTGAGATTAAGTTCTCCTCTGTGTTGTATATCAGATGAGTAGTCCTTTGCAAGAGTATGTAGATCTCTTGTATGTAATATATATATATATTTTTTTTTTTAACTGGTTACAGCAGGAGTCTACTGTCACACTTGCTGTAAAACACTAGATGAGTGCTCATGGACATGACTCTCACAGCTTCATCACCCATAACTCACATAAACATGAACAAACAGCTTATGTTTATATCAATGGTGAGGGGTGCAAGAAGCAGGAGAGAGCCAATAGCAAATACAGGCAGTATTTTAGGCATTTTCACCCAGACTGCAGAATAAAACTGATGTAGGCAGGAAGGGCACTGAAGTAAATAATACAGTTGCTTGATCGTCCTCTATGCGTTGTTGGTGGATGTAATAGATGAACAATTTTACTTGTGTCCTACACAAGAGCCTCTGTGTTTTTGGTTTCACAAGTTGACTTTGATTTCTTAGAGTCAAGTGTCTGACTCACATCTTCTGCCAGGACATTCTTAAGAATAAACCTAAAGGATCTTTTGAATTTGCTTTTAAACTCCCGACCTGCTAGCACATAAATAATTGGGTTCATGCAGCTGTTGACAAAAGCCAGTGCAATAAAAATTGTGTCCAGATTTTTAAATGATGCGTATAACTCTGAACCTTTTTCATGCACAGCTAGGAAGATTCCAGCAACATGGTATGGAACCCAGCAAACAAAGAACCCAACAATCACAATGAGGATCACTTTCATTGTCTTAGTAGATTGGGTGTATCGTCCACTTACTCTCCCCATGAGGACACCATAGCAAGCAGTGATGACAACAAACGGGATGACAAAACCCATCAATAATCGGAAAACAGCAATTAAGTTCTCCACCTTCTGTTTCTGATCTTTAATGGAAGAAAAAACATATGCACAAGCCTCTGTCCCATCATTCTTCTCAGTTGTATGTCGAAACACAAAGGCAGGACTGCTCAGAATGAAGGCCAAGATCCATATGGCCAAACATGCCACATACGCTTTCTTCACAGTCCTCTTGTTTTGGCACCACACAGGTTTGAGGACCAAGGCACAGCGGTCAATGCTGATTATAGTGAGGAGAAGAACACTAGCATACATATTGATCAATAACATAGAAGGGATTGTCTTGCAGGCAAAAAGACCCAGCGGCCAGTGTCCAAGGGCTATCACCATGATGGAAAATGGCGCAGCAATACAACACAGAAGGTCTGCAACTGCCAGGTTTAGGAACCAAATAGAATTCACTGTCCTTTTCATTTCAAAGGTTGTTACCCACACCACCAGGCCATTGCCAGGAACACCAAGCACAAACACTATGCAGTACATGACAATGGAAAACCCGTCAATTAGGGAAACCTGATGAGGTTCTGGACTGTTAGGAGATTCAGTGCCATTAATGACCTTATTATAGGCATCATCAATGTCCTTATAGACATCGTTGTCATAGTCGATTTCCTTGTAATCTGAAATATTCTTGAATAAATAACCAAGCATGTCTAGCTTCTTTGATGACCTATAAAACACAAATTAGTAAGTATATGGGGTTAGTAACTGGTCACAGTACAGTCAGAGCAGTGCTTTGTAAAATAAAACAAAGATGGGAATTTTGCATTGCCCTTTGTTCTGCCTTGCCCTCACGGAACTTTCCGCCTTTAAAAAGTAACCAACCCACGCACTTAAATACAGTATGTTAAGTTTATGCTACGTTAAAAAGTGTTAAGCTGTTTTTGCAACTTCAGAAGATTTAAAAGCTTATAGACTCTAAATTATTCTGTTACCTACAAATAGGGCACTTTCTGAATTCCCCTATAAGGGGTAAGGCCACCACATCATCAGTACACACCACTTTCAAATGCAGGTGTTTAAATGATCCTCACTCCACAGGCCTAATCTCATCCAGGATGTAGGGATATATATCACATCGAGGCAACCCACAAAGCAAGCCCACATGACCAAGTGGAAACAAGACTTTGTCATTCTCGCTGCACCCTAGTTTGGGCACAAGTGGCTAAAAGTTCATATAATGTGATAGTCTTAGAAAATGTATACAGTGTGCTAATGAGGTGGTATCTGACTCCAGACATGGTCTCTAAATTGGCCCCACAGTGTCTCCCAACTGCTTTAGAGGACATGTGGCATAATGCTTCACATCTGGTGGGGTTGCCCATAGGTCCAATTTTTTTGGATTTGAGTATATAACCTCATTAGATCTGTTCTTCACTGTAGATTGGTACTGAAACTATTTACTAATTGTGAAAATCCCAATCCTCACAAGGCATGAAGACATACTGGCACACCACTTTTCTTTTGGCTACCAGACAATTGCTAGGTTATGGAGACAACCCACCCTAAGTTATGGGAATGTTGAGCAGTGGATCATGGGTATAATGATAACTAAGAAGCTTACCGTTCAACAATACTCATAAGAAATATCTGAAACTATGGTCCTTCACTCTTGAGGATTTGATCTACATGTGCCTAACTTTGTTGGTCTTCCTCCCTTCCAGCAGCTCCCCCTCCTTCCACTCTTGTTCTCTGCCTTTTCCTACCTAATCTTTATATAACTTTTTTCCTGCCTCTTGTGTTTGCTTGTATCTTCTCTTACCACATTTACTGACATTTGACAGTAAATGTAAATTATAGCTTGACTTACTATATAAATGTGGTCATCTGCACTCCAGCCCGCTATCTTTTACCCTTTGGCCATGCTTTTCGATATAATGGAGCCACTTACTCAGAATCCACAGTGTACAGTAATGGTACCTACCCTGTCTTCTACCTTGTCAATATGTAATATTTTTCCATGGTGTTCTTTGGATTGCCATCTCTCTACACCTCCTTTCTATTGTCAGTTCTTCAAAACCTTCATAAAATGTTTGTAAAGAAATAAATAAAACAAATACTACATCTTTACATTATTCTTGATGATACCCTGTAATGATTTAAACATGTTGTTTCTTATTCTTTCACGTTTTATTGATTTTTCTCAAACTTAATTTATCTATATTTATTATTTAGGGCTGTTACTGATTAAAATTTTCGTGTTCGATTAATCACATTTATTTTTTAATCGATTTAATTTAGATTAATTATAACGCACATACAGATCCAACTACATTGGCCTATACCCATACAGCACAGCAATGAAGTAATAAAATGAACTAGGATCACATTAATCCAGCACGGTATTAATCTCACGTGCCCCACTCAATATGGCTGCCGCTTGAGTGGGGCAACTCAGAATAATAACGTGCTGGATTAGTGTGATCCTAGTTCGTTTTATTACTTCATTGCTGTGCTGTATGTGTATAGGCAAATGCCTTGGCTGGCGCTCGTGCAGAAAGTTTATAAAAATGTTAATCGATCAAAAAGATTAACGATTAATCATGAAATTAATCGTTAATTTGCACAGCCCTATTATTATAACATCAATTGCAGACTAGCATACTTAAGTGACCAGGAAAGAACCCTTAAATGAGGCATATGCTCAACTATTAAGATGAAGCTATTGTATTATTCATGCTGTCTCCTGTGCTGCTGACATGTCTTGGTGTTTGATGATGTGATCTGTACCAAAGGGGAGGACCAGGGATTTAACTGTCATGTTCTTATCTTCAACAGAGATCATTTGACCAAAGGCTTAACGTTATGTGGGGACCACAGAAGGAAATTGGCAGCAGAAAATAGGTGTTTTGGCTAGGGTATTCAGCACCGTAGGGCTTTGTCTGTCCTATTTAATGTAATGTGCCCACCCCACCCTTTCATTGATGTAAAAACTAAAGACAAAACCTTTTTTTCTTTAGAATGGTATAGAGTGGTGGGAGGTTACAACTCCTGTCAGGTTTTTATTGCTCTCTGTACCCCATTTGGGAGATTAACCCTCTCTAATTGTCCTTATCACTATTGTCACAAGGAATATAAGTGAGGATATATACAAAGGGGTCTATTCACGAAGCTGCCGAAGGATCTGGCCGTAGCTTCGGCCGATCCTTCAGCTAGCTTTGGCCCCAGGACCCCTTCAGTTCAGTAGAACCGAAGGGGTGCTGTACGGGTTATTCACAATAGCCCATACAGCTCCCGATCATGGCCGAGCGGCTAAGCCGAGCCAAACGCATATGCATCGGCTCGGCTGAGCCTGCTTCTGAAAGCTGACAGCCTGCTTCTGACAGCTGGGCGGAGCCAGCCGTGATCTTACGGCTGGCTCCGGCCACTTTCAGAGAGATCAGCGTCCCTGATTACCTGCTAACCAGGGACACGGATCTCCATACACCTAACTCTCCCTGGCGGCCCGGGAGTCTCCTGCTCCTGGCCGCCAAGGAGAGAAACACTGCTGTGTCTTTTTTTTCTTTATTCTGACATGAGCGATGTCAGATGCTGCTGAGCATGTTCGGCCGACCCAAAGCCACGCGAAGCAAGCCGATGTACGGCTGGTTTCAGCCGATGTACGCTGAAATCAGCCGTACCAGCCTGAAGTGAATAGCCGAACAGTGTTCGGCTCACTTCACTTCAGATCGGTCATTCACTCGGCTGCCCTCCGCAGCTTAGTGAATAGACCCCAAAGTTTTGAGTTTCCTTCAGAACAGGAATAGAGAGGAAATCTTCTAATGAGGACACTTGTTCCTGCGATAATTGTCCAAGGACTTTGAGCCTGTTGAGTCTTCAGAAAAGAAAGTGAAAGAAAATCTCCCTAATGAGACACAGATGGCTAAAAAAAAAACCTGACAGCTGTTTTAATCCCCCCTTGCTGCATTCAAAATGAAAAATACTACTTGCTTTAGATATACTTTAAATTAGTACAACACATGAACTATAACAATACCACACTTTTTTTAATAGGTGTATATCCAGCTAAAACGTTTGTTTTTTCGTTTGGAAAGCGTAGGGAAGAATTAGAATCCTTTCAGGTTTTTACCATTTACACCACGTTACAATCTGACTATACAATCTTCTTTAACTCTACTAAAATAATGTAGTATAAGGGCCCACCTTACCTAACCATTTGAATGGATAGTTTAGGTGTAATTTCATATTAGATACATTTTAACAATCTAAAGGAGATTGTACAAAGGTTGTACAGTCAGATTTTAACGTGTATGGTGAACTTTAAAGAGATTTTTCGCTCATTTACTGTCACAGTGTTAACAGTTTCACAAGAAAGGAAGTGAAGAAATATTTGCAACAGTAACACAGGCAAAATATTTATTTTAGTTGCCAACATCTTTGTTTCAGTCCTGGGGACTGAGATGCATGGACCACACATATGCCAATCTCCATAGTTCTGTCTAGATCACACCACTTTCCAGGTGGTCCTGCCCAGATCCCATCTGCTTTCTGGGTGGTCTTGCACCTTAATATTCAGGAACAGGCACTTGCGGCTGCAATCCCCTTAGTAAGACCGTTTTGGAATTACCACGCATGCTCAGCAACTCAAATAAAGGTGATGCTGTGATCTCAGGACACAGCCCAGGACACAGCTTCTTCAGGACAGAGCACCGATCTGCAGCATCTATGATTGATA